AGGGGCTTGATTTTACGACGCTGAGATCACAACCTGAGCCGAAACCAAGAGTCGGGTACCCAAAGGACTGTGCCACCCAGGCACCCCTGCCACATATTAAATTGAAAACAAAAAGGGCTCCTTCTCACTCCGTTCCCACAAATATTTCCAGGCAAGGGAAATTTTTCTGTATTTCTCTCAAGGATGTCCTAGGTCCACATTCTGACTCACACCTACTCTGCAGACTATAAAAGAAATCAGTCTTCTATATATTATTTACTCAAGAATCCCCGGTTGCATTAATAGCAGGGTGCTTTAATAAAGTTTAAGTGAAAATTGAAGATTTTAAATTATTTAAATCTTCAATTTAGCTAATTAGTCCTCACTAGAGGCTGCTCATTCTTCCATGCTAAAACATTTGGTGAAATGCTTCGAGTCACTTCAGAAACTGCTTAATATTCAGTCCCCAGAGTATGTCCATGAAAAGTTCTCTCCTGCATTCTCAATACCTTTCCTTTGCAAACAAAATGAGAGGAGAAATGAAAATGGACAAGGCTGAAAATGAAGACCCTCTACACTATCCCTCACAGCAAACTGGCTTTCCATGTATTAACATCCGACCCTATCCCATCATCATAGTCAGGAGGGCCCACAAAGGTTATAACAATTAACATATTTCATCTTGCTAACTTTTGAGCCAAAAATATTTGAGCCAAGTTATAAAAAGTAAGCCTCTATTTGGATTACAGGGCCCAATTCCAAAACCAAAGAACTAGCCTTTCTGGAGAGTTGCATGTTATTTGTAGCTTAATCAAATACAGATAAATCTTTGAAAGGCTCCCTTTTTATGGGGCTATTTCTGTCCCACGGGTGTGTTAGCCTATACTCTGATTTTAATTCTGATCTGTGAAATTATAACCCGAGGATAAATGTATGGCTTTCTTATCAACCACATTTTATTTTACTAAAACTCCTCAGGTCTTTATATTAATGTGATAAATTCTGTTTTAAAATCAAACAGAAAATTCAGACTTTCATTTCTAATAAATAGCCTCACCTCATGGGGCCACTTTGTTAAATTTTCTCCACCGGCTTCTCAGAAGGTTGCCATTTCAGTCATGGAGCGCTATCATCCACTTAGAACTAACTAAACATCTGCACAAAACACAGCTGCGTCCAGAGTACCCACAGCCTAATAGTTAAAGAGTCTATTTCCTGATTCAAAAATAATAGTTGCATTTCCAAGGTGATAATTTAGCCAGAGAGGCAGCATTTCATTTATACATTCAGTGAGTAGTACACAGTTACAGGGCCGTACAAGACCTGTGTGATAATGTGTGTAAACACACTCCTTTCCTTGGAGAGGTGTACAGTATGATTTGACAGTCAACATTTTTCTCCCCACAAGACATCCTCCACAGATAGAACACAGGTTACTATACATGTTTCCAGGGGCTTTGCAGAATCTCTCATCCTACACTTCCTAAAGAAGTAGCGCTGACAAGATGAATTCCCGGACCTCTGTCCTTCCTCCCTTTCTTCTCTCTCTCTGCCGTTTGTCCACCTCCTTCTCTGTTTATTTCCTCCTCCTTCCCTTGCTCCTCTCTTCCTAGCCCTGCCTGTGAAATACACACTTTGATATCTTCTCTTTCTTCCCCCAAATCACATCACTCTCGCAGCTTTATCAACCCTTTGGGGAAAACTCCCCAAATTTAAGAACTTCAAGTCTATGTGATGTCCCTTAAAATCCTTAAATTCAACCTGATCAAAATGGAATGCCTGATGTCCCCACTAATGCCAATTCCTCCACCCTACTTCTTGCTCAGCGAATGGCCCCAGCAGGCTCACTGGGACCCAGGCTGTGTTAAGGACTTCTTTCCCTCCTCTTTTTCCTCAGCAGCCCCCAACCCACCCACCTGATCTGCTGCCAGTCACATGGATTCAGATCTCTTCTGTCCACCACCATTGCCAACAATCCTAATCTAGGCACTTATCTTCCCCTTGAGCGTTCCAGAATTTTTCTAAGTGGGCTTCTACTTCCACCCTAACCCATCTTAAATGATTCTATCGTATTAACTTTCTGAGAGGAGATCTACATACTCCAGAACCAGAGGGCCCAGTTTCAAACTCCAGCTCTGCTACATCTTCATTCTGGGACCTTGGGCAAGTTGCCTAACCTCTCTGTACCCTAACTGTCATCATCTCTGTACACTAAGGATGATAATAGTACCAGCCTCGTGGAATTGTTGTGAAAATAAAATGAATTCATGATTAATAGTCGTGGGGCACCTAGAACAGCACCTAGCATGCATTTAAACACTCAATAAATGTTTGCCATTATTTGCCATTAGCCCAGATCCAGTCATACCACTGACTGCCCCAAAACCCGCAGGAGTCCATTGACGTCCGATGAAACGGTGGATCCCCACCCTGGCATTCAGTCTGCACCCCACTGACCTTTCAACTTCATATTGCACATCCCCTTGGGACCTGAATACATACCAGGCAAATTGGGGGACTTACTAGTCCCTGAACCCACTCCGGAACCTCCTTCCTCATCCTTGTGTTCTTGCTTCTGGGATCTCTCCTCTCACATCTCTGCCTGATAAAACTCTGTCCATCCTTCAAACCAATTGTAACTCCATGAAGCCCTTTTCTAAACACTTCAACCAAACGTGCTCCCACCTGCCTAGGAACTCCTCTTAGCACAGGGGCTATGCTAACCTGAAGACAGTTCTCTTTCTGTACTTCTCACTGCACTGCTGTTATTCTCCCTACAGGCTTGTGGCTCCTCGAAGGTCATATGTGCATTCATCGTCACCGTATTCTCTCCAGCATCTAGCCATGAATAGTATGTTGGGGTTACAAAAAAGATGGACTCATGGCTAATTAGAAGCACAGCCATTGCTGTGACACGGTAGCTGGGCAAGTCCAAACCAAGAGAAGGGTACGCTCTGCCCAGACGGGGGTCCTCTTCACAGTTTCAGATGATGTCAAAACTCACAACAGAAATGGGATGGTCTCTCCAGCGAGTCTTTCTTTACAAGACACCAGAAATACAGTAGAGTAAATATAAGAGGAATGGGATTTGTCGCCCTATCCTAAAATAGCAACATTAAAATACTCAAAAACTGTTCCTCACCTATCAATGCTACAATCAAAAAACCATCAAGCAACTATGTTGAGTGGCTAAATGTAATTTCCTGCTAGATCTACCATTGAGCCATCCCTAAAGAAGCAACTCAGACCTCAATGACGGAAGCTTGTTCCGTGATATATTAACAGCCTCTGGCATGTCAGTCACTGCAGAATGGAACATAATGACACATCCACAGTCCCTACCCTCAGATGCACAAGAGGTCCCCGAACCCTAACCTCACAAAAAGAAAGCCACAACAATGCACATTGCCAACAATAGAGTGCTCAGTCACTAAACACAGCTAGCAGTGACATCATCCAGGTATCCGGGTCAGGGAGCAGGCAGAGCAGTCCTCCATTGGGTCTAGGGGCAGGGCTGTAATCTGACACCAGGGATTTAGACCTCATTGCAGCCGCAAAGGGCTCTTTCATTCCCACTTTGACTTCAGCCATTCAAGAAGCATCCTGCCTCCAGCACCACCAAGAGCAACATCCTGAAGACATCAGTCTCAAGAATCCCTATGATGAAGTGACAGTTAAAGATGGTTTGCCCTCAAATAAAAGATGACGCTCTTAAAAGTTGAGAATGCTCTCACTCTTCAAATGCCTTGGTGGTACCCACACATCCTTAGGCAGATCGGCCAAAATCCCTTTTAACCAAAATCCCTTTTAAGGGGACTTGTTCTAGGAAGCTTACTAGAGTCACTATGGTTCATTTAACTATGTTTATTCAATTGCCTGTTTGGTTAAACAACAAGAAAGTCAAATTAAATGTTTAAGTTAAAATATACTGGACTACTCTGAAACACCAGCACTTTTATCTTTTTTTTTAAGATTTTATTTATTTATTTGACAGAGAGAGAGATAGTGAGAGCAGAAACACAAGCAGGGGGAGTGGGAGAGGGAGAAGCAGGCTTCCCGCTGAGCAGGGAGTCCGATGATGCGGGGCTCGATCCCAGGACCCTGGGATCATGACCTGAGCCGAAGGCAGACGCTGAATGACTGAGCCACCCAGGCGCCCCAACACCAGCTCTTTTAATGAGAACATAATCAAGTCAATTCAGCCTTCCTATTCCTTATTATCTGTTGCTTTTATTGAGTAGAGGTTTATCTCCCTTTAATTAAATTTTTATTGCCCTTAAAGTATTAAGATATCCTTTTCCTGTAAATTAATTGCCTTTCACAGATAACAGTTTCCTATTCTTATTTTACACTCTCAAATCCTAATCCCACAGAAGCAAAGTAACCAAAGAAAGTAAATCAGCACTCCTATACCACTTCCTCAAAGACAAAGAAAGTAATACTCGGAAGCTTGGGGCACCCAAAGAAAATAATCCGATAATTTCTCACACAGGTAAAACCTTACTCATAGATATGACTTGGGTACAGCTACCTTCAGCTAAACATTCCCACTTTCCAAAAACGAGCTGCAGAAACAAAAACATTCTGCGAGACAACAGAAGCCTTGTGAACTGGAAAGCTGAAGCACCTGTAATACACACACTTCCCTGTACTCTGTGGGTGCTCCATAAATACTCCGGGGCTGATTCACAGGCCAATTACAGCACTAGCAAGGACAGAGTCTCCCTGGTCCTACTCTGGGGAGTGTTAGGTATCTACAGTTGCAATTGTGGTGGTGGCAGGAAGAGCTCACAGAGACAAAGGTCTAAAATGACTGGGCTGTTGGTAGGTTCACATTATGTTAACTTCGCCTGCACCTCTCCCCAAGCATCTGAGTCTTCAAAAAATGGTGTTGTTACTTGCACCACGGGGGGGGGGGGGGGGGGGGGGAGTGAATAAAACTGCCATAAAGGTGCATAGGGTTCCTTCACCAAAGAGCCAACAGGCTAAAAAGTTAAGAGAAAAAAAAAATAGAAACTTACTTTTCATAGACCAGCTCCTCATCGATGGAGAAATAGTGGGTATTTACTGTGCTTTTTGGTCTATTCCTTAAAGTAGCAAAATATAACCGATCTGAAAGACAAGTTTAAAAGACGGGAGAAAACATATGAGAAGGAGGGAAGCTGAACGTGGGGAGTGGTGATAATACACGAAAGATCAAAATAATAACTGCTACCCATTATTGAAAGACCCCATTAACACGTGGAATTCTTGCAGAAACCTGATCTCTCCCAGAAACCCAGAGACCCAAGAGCACAACGGAGAGGCGAGAAGGGGACCCGACTGAGACACTCAGCTGGGGAGCAGAGTTCCCATAATCTTCCCTGTTTCAGGCCAGCGGGAGCAGACAGAAGCTAGGGGTACCCGTAGAACTGGAGATGCAAGTTTGGCTCACAAATCTCCAGACCTCAGCAGCTGCGGAAGGGGAAGAGAGGCGAGCCTGCAGCTCCGAAGACTTCAAGAAGAGGAAGGGAGGAAGAGACAGGGAGGTGTGCCTGGGGGGGTGTCCCGAAAACCGAGGCGAGCAAGAGCGGGATAAAGGAGACCGAAAAAATCAACCGGAGCAGGATCCCCACCAGATGCTGCGTGCAGAAGCCGGACCGAGCCCGGCGCTGTCCCATTACCGGGCGGGGAGGCCATCCGAGGGAGCTGCAGAGGGAACCAGGGACGCCAGAAAGACAGAGAAGCCGGAAGCAGGGGGTCCTCGGGGAGAGGATAGTACGGAGAGGGGACGAGAGCGCCCGCAGCGGCTGCAGGACCCCGGAGGCCCCTGGAGAAGCCGGAGGCAGCGGCTGGGACGTAGGGGTTAGAAGTGAAGAGTTGGGCGCGAGGGAGGGTTGGAGGTTGCGGGGCAGCTGCTCCTCACCTTTCATGAACTCGCAAGCCCCGATTAGTTCCCCTGACTCCGCTGCCATCTTAAGCGAGATACGCACGGGCGAGGGCTGGGTCGTGGCCAGCTGAGGTCACCCGCCCCCGGGGGCTTCCCCACTGCCCAGGAGCCGGGAAGCTTGCAGTCCCGAACACCGAACCCGCCCGAGAGGGGCAGCAGGCGCCGAAGGCGGAGGCGGCTGGGGGGTCAGCGCGCGGGGCGCCCCGGGGACATTCCGTGGGGAACCCGAGCCCGCTCCGCGCGGGGCGCACACGCCCCAGGCTGTGGCCGCTCCGATTCGGACCCGGCTGCTGCCGCTGCTCCGCCGCCGCCGCGCCAGGGAAACGCAGACCAGCTCTCACGGCCGGGCAAAGTCTTCCCCCCGCTCCCAAAGTGATCATGGAGGAGGAGACGTCTGGCCCCGATCGCGCCCGTGGCTACTCGTGCGGCAGCGGGCAGAACTCCGGTGCCCGCGGGCTGGCAGCAGCTGCTCCGGCTCCTCCTTCGCCACCTCCTTTCAGCGGCAACTCTTCCTCCTCCTCCCCCCTAGGTCCGCCCTCAGACCTTCCTCCCCGCCCTCCCTCAGCCCCCTCCACTTTCACGGCTCCGCGGCCATCCCTTAAAGGGACAGCCCCGCTCCTTTCTCGGTGCCGGCCCCGCGCCCCAGTTACCAGGCGCCCCGCGGGTCACTAGGAGCCAGTTGCTAAGGCTTTGTTGCCGTCCACCAATTGCTGTACAGGAAACGGGGCCCTCGGCCCAGGGGAGACGGGCGGGGCTTCCAGACCAGAAACTTATGAATGAAACGGTGGAGTAGGGAGTGGATGTCGGGAAAGGGGCTATTGCGGCTTCCTAGGCAAGGATGCGCCCACTAAGTCGTCTCCCCCTCTAGATTTTCCTTCTCTGTCTCTCTTTCACCCCCTCACCCACGTTCTCCTAAACTCTTGCGCGCGCGCGCGCGGGCGCGCACACACACACACTTAAAAGACTTCAGATCTCCGCGCCCAGCCTCCTATAGCAGATCTTTCCAGCGCTCCGCATCCCCCCCCCACTGACGGATCTCAATCTTTATTTAAAAATAAATAAATAAAATTTTAAAAAGCGCTACCTCCTCGCTCAAAAGAACATGTACCGGTTTCCTCTACACATACTGGACTTTGATATAACTTGTGCTTTGTTCTCACGGGGAAAACCTTTCCATGCGGTCCCCCACGTCCTCTCAGTGGGGCCACCACTGTGGGCGCAAAATCATCACAAATGCCTAACCTCTATACTGCTCTGGCCCAGGAGGGGGGGCGAGGGAGCGAGGCCAGCGACACAGGAGAGGACCACTTGAACACGGGGAAATTAACACAAAAGAATCTCTTTACGTAGTCTTAGCTGAAGCGCTGCAGGGAGTGGGTCGTCTCAAAAAAGCCCTTGTCTTGTTTCTGTGAAGCTCCTCACATTGTTTGAACAACTTTGATACTGGGTGCCCGAGGACGCGCCTAATTACAGGAGAGTCCCTTGGATATGAAAATGGCGCTATGGCTCCACCATCAGAAGAGCATGCGCTCTGAGCGGTTTCTCCAGAAACAGAAAGGGATTTGCGCCCGCCTTTGGGAGAAAGGGGGCGCGCAAGTGGAGAGCGGCCCGGCCGACTTCGAAGGAGCGCTGCGAGGCCAGCGTGTAGAACTCAACTCCTCGGTCTTAGCCCGTTAGTCCAAAAAGCGAAACAGTTACAGAAAATAAATACAAGCTGCTTTTGGAAACCTGAGTGGTTTGATTTTTTTTTTAATTGCTCGCATAAGAAGAAAAAATATGCATTTCTTAGATATTCAAAAACAATAGAACATCTCAATTCTAATCAGTTATGTCCTTGTAAGAGAGTAAAAAGAAAAACCTAACATCCAATTCTTTAGACCATATAAATTTAAAGCTGGAAGAATCATTGAGAAGCACCTCCTATACCCTATGCCCATACAGCACCGTTTAATCTTCACATGAAATATCAAGAGTTTTTAAAACTATAAAAGTCCTGAAAGATGAATTGTAATGAGTGTTTTGTGTTGAGATGCATTCAATGTCTTACAGGCCACTGGCCATGGCTAAGGAGTTCTAAAGGAGGAAAATATCTCTCAAATATGGTGTCCACATTCACACAATTACTTGAATTTTGCCTGATATTCCCCCAGTCTTGGTGTCAACAATCATGTTGGCCAAATCAAATTATTTTATTGAAAATTTCTAACAGTTTTTGTATGTGAAAGATGGCAAAGGAAAGCGAATGAATGTCTCAAACTTAACCCCTTTGTTTAGAAGTCTGAATTCATGGTGGTGATCTGTTTCCAAATTTGCTGATTTAACATTCCTGTAGAATCTAAATTCACTTGCAAATTTCCTAAAAACTTTTCATCTCAGTCTGTATTGGAAAAATTGCAGGAAAAAAGAAGTCCACCTTCTCATACAACATATAAACTTTTAATCTCAAGAAGTAAATAGTCTAATGAACTCTAAATCTGCATTTTCAGAGAAAGCAGCTTTAATTGAACACCCTCTTGTTATTTTCTACAATGAATTTACAAAAACATTTCTTTCACGCAATTCCCTGGCTTAGAAATTTTGGTCATGAAGAGTGAATTATGACCTGAACAAATAAAAGTTTTTAAAATTAAGAACTCAAAACGAAAAAGTTTCTTTTTCCTTAGCATATTTACAATATGGGTATTATAATGAAATTCTTGAAGACTCTCTAAGTAATTTTTTAATGTTGCACGAAAGAAAAATAAGTGATTATCAGTATAATCAAATCTCTCTAAACCAAAATCTGCACAATCTAAAAGATATGGAATATTCTACAAGGAAAATTGTAAACAAGCTAGTGCGCACACACAGCACACATCCACCTCAAGGTTCTAATGAGATCATAAAATGCTTTATTCCCTCAATTATCATGAGGTCAGTGTTCCTACTGGCTGCAGTTTCATAATAAAGGCATGATTTCAGTCTATGGAGGAAGATAATGGAAGAAACTTCTTTCCAATCATCCAACTTAATAAAAGTGTTAGGAAATGACTTTAATTTTTAACAACAATAAACGTGTTTCACACATGAAGAAAATACTGAGAGAATTAAGATGTCACCCAATGAAGAAAAGGAAGGAATATTATACATAGAAATCTAACAGTTAAGTATAAAATTGTCTCAATGACAGTAACTCTGCAAACATCACTTGAATCCTGTCTCTCACACAGTGAGAGGCAGTCCACAGACTATGTGTGTGTACTTGCAGAGCTAGAAAACTCACTGTAGGAGGCAGCTCTAAAATTTGTCACCAAAATATGTCTGGTTCTAATTCTGTCCCTTGAGGCCGTACTGAACACCCTTAGTCATTCTTGAACATAACACCTCTTCAAAAATGCAAACAAAGGCAGCTCCCCTGGACCACTTCTTCCTCTTAATTTTTCCCAGATTAAAATCCTCATTTCTTTCAACCTTTTCTTAAATTACATGGCTTCAAGTCCAGTCACTTTCTTCTCCAATGTGTCTATCTCCCTTAATAAGTGTGTCCCAGGGGCGCCTGGGTGGCTCAGTTGGTTAAGCGACTGCCTTCGGCTCAGGTCATGATCCTGGAGTCCCGGGATCGAGTCCCACATCGGGCTCCCTGCTCAGCAGGGAGTCTGCTTCTCCCTCTGACCCTCCTCCCTCTCATGCTCTCTCTCATTCTCTCTCTCGCAAAATAAAATAAAAAAATAAAAAAAATTTTAAAAAAAACCCACTAAAAAAAATAAATAAAAAAAAAAATAAGTGTGTCCCAGAACTGAATGCAGGCCAGTGATGACCTAGTGTGACTAGTTCTGAGATCAGAAAAAAACACCGATAGAAGATTCAGATGAGAATGAAGGCGATGAAAAATGTAAAAGAACCAAGTTTGATCATTTAGTTGCAAAAAGAGGGAAACTATTCTCTCTTGTTGGAGAAGGGTAAGGAAAAAGTTGCTTAGGCTAATCAAAGACCTGACAACTGTGATATTTACATATTCTATTCAAAGTATCATTTCTTATTAAGATATATTATGGGAACATGCTCTTTTAGTTGCTTTTTTCAGTCATGATGATGTTATATGAGCAAGTAAAAAACTATAGAATACATACTTTGAATTCTTTTTTTTTTTTTAAGATTTTATTTATTTATTTGACAGAGAGAGATACAGCGAGAGAGGGAACACAAGCAGAGGGAGTGGGAGAGGGAGAAGCAGGCCTCCCGCGGAGCAGGGAGCCCGATGTGGGGCTCGATCCCAGGACCCTGGGACCATGACCTGAGCCGAAGGCAGACGCTTAATGACTGAGCCACCCAGGTGCCCCCATACTTTGAATTCTTTCTAAAAATTAATTCTCAGGGCGCCTGGGTGGCTCAGTTGGTTAAGCGACTGCCTTCGGCTCAGGTCATGATCCTGGAGTCCCTGGATCGAGTCCCGCATCGGGACGAAGCAGGAAGCCTGCTTCGTCCTCAGACCCTATCCCCTCTCAAGTGTTCTCTCTCTCTCATTCTCTCTCTCGAATAAATAAATAAAATCTTTAAAAAAAAATAAAAATTAATTTTCAGTTTAACTGTGAGACAAGGAAAACTGTGCTTCTGAGTAATTTGATATTCAAAGTAATTTGAATTGTTTAAATATTTTGGTTCCTTGCCTGGTACCAAAAATAATTTAAAGCAATTTTTAGTTATAATTTAAATTTAAAGCAAAATTTAGTTATAATTATTTTATATTGTATATTATATATTATTATATATAATAATGCTTATAATATAATAATATAATAGTGCTTCTCAATGATTCTTCCAGC